ATCGATTTTATGTAATCACGACATTGAGCTCGACTGCACGATTTTTTCGAGCCCAGAAGCAGCACAATCCGTGAAGAACTGACTGGGTTATGGTTCTATCAAGTTTGGTGCTGAAAATGGGAACACCACTGTCTCCAGTAGCAAATTTAGCGCCCAGACCCGCGGGTTTCAAACCATGTTCAAAGGTCCTGTCACATATGTATGTGACCTTGGAGTATCAAACTTGTTTTAATCATAACTCAGTCAGTTCTCAACCGTTCTGGATGTTTTTGGGCTCAAAAAATTTGCAGAGTTGAGCTCCACATTTCCATTAGATAAAACCCGCGGGTTTACCCGTGACCATCCCTAGTTGGGAGGACCCCCTGAAAAAAAAAATGGGCACACAGATGCAGATAGCTTAGAAAACCATATTCCATTATCGAACTATGTTGCTGGCAGTCACCGTTAGCGATCACATCAAGCTTACCACCTTACACCGCCGAGCCGCGTATGTCAAGAAAGGCGATAATTGTGTCGCGAAGTATATGCCTCGGTTTGATGGCCCTATGAAGTGATCGCAAAACACAATGAGTGCTCAACCTACACCCTTGACCTCCCCAACCAGCCCAATGTTTTCCCTGTTTTCCATTCATCTGAACTCAAGCCTTATATAGAAAATGACGACGAACTCTTCCCGAACTGCACTCTCGTGAAACCCGCTCCGGTCATCAACGAACGTGGCGATCAGGAATGGTTCATCGAAGATATTGTCGACGAACGACCCCGCGGCCGCGGGAAACAATACCTAGTCCGATTCTCTGGCTACGGCGAAGAAGGCGACCGCTGGCTCGCCAGAAGCGAAGTTCCACACACCAAAGCACTTGACTGATGGCTGGCACGGAAGGAGTAGGATGGTCATGGCTGATGTTCTATTCCCTTCTCTTTGTGCCCGCACCGGTAGCTTTCCCAATGGGGTTTTGACGCACCCGTGTAGCGGTTTTTTACTTACTCTTCATCTCTCTTTTTGGCTGGGGGGCTATTTTCTAGGTAGGGGAGGGGTGTAAACTCGACGGCTTACCTACACATCACCTGACTGACTGATTACGATACCTTTCCTGCTCTCTCTCGATTTTCATCTGGGCTAGCTATTTCTAATTCTGGCGCTATACAATGATTCTATTATTCTTTTGGGCCTCTGTTAGTGTTCTCTCCAAGATATCCTTGGTGTTACGCTCAATTTCGGATCTTTTTCCTTCGTGTAAAGATAAACACATAGGCTCAAAGTACACACATATTTTCCTTCTAAATGAGTGAAAACTTCAAGGGAGAAAAATTGTGAATAACCCGAAAAGGCAACTCACTCAACATTACAAATTCAAACTCATATTGACCAGCCTGTCTATCGACAGTATATATCACTAGCACAGGAGGCAAAACATGGGGCATGTGCACTTTACATGCCGTGGAGGCATCATGCCAGGCATGTGGCAGGCATGCACCCGGGCACTCAACAAAGCACTTTACCTCAGATATATTAATGGTTAGTAACCGCTGCTGACCACAGCATTTATATTTTGTACATAGGCTCATACGGGGAGTTTTCCAGTCAAGCTGTCGGAAATATATGTGGTGTCATAATTTTCCCCATTCCGGCCGCACCCTGCTGTTGGTAGGTCCAATCTCTGGGATGCGTAGGGTAGCGGCCACCAGCCCGATCTGAGCCTGACGGGATTACAGGAACCTTGCTAAAAATAGGACTCACGGAGACAAAGAGGTATTGACCCTGCCGTCATTCCTGGTGCTCTTCTTTGTGCTATCAATGCCCGGATACATGCCATGTAATTGCCTGGACACATGCTCGCCACATGCCTGTAAGGCATGTAACATGTACATGCCCCAGGTTTTGCCCGCTGTGACTTTTGATAGACAGGCTGGTTTCGAGCCTAGGCTGAGCCTCGAAGAGTTGGGCGGGACACGGACTCGGATACCGGCGCCAACCTAACTAGTCAATTGAGAATTCTTCTGGGCGCGGAATGACGGTAGGTTACCTCGAGAAACTCACTGACCGACTCCGAAACAGTAACAGTGGGTCCGTCTGCAGCGAGCGCGAGCGCGGTCAGTAGACCGCCGATCCCTGCCCCGACAACGAGGACACGGAGGTCCTTCATTCTATTTCGTGGTAGGTGTTGCGGTGTGGGAAAGGACTCGGGACCGGACTTCCGTCGGGGGCGAAGGCTCGGAATGCCGTTGGGAATTTGAATTTCCCGCGAGCATTCGCGATCTCGTCATTGTCGACGGTTAGGGAATGCAACCGTTATGATTGGGTATCATTAGTTTAGCTAGATCCTTGTGAACCGGGATACTTATGAGAAGTCACTAGAAGCCACAGTCTGTTGCAGTGTTTGCCATTGGCGCGGGATGCCGGTTTACAACTCAGGGAGCGCTCGTTGTCGGTGAAACATAATCCCGGCCTGGACAGTGTTCAACTTAAGTGTTAAGCCTTAACTTAACCTAAGGGTTAATAACCCCTTGATATTAAGGCTTCACAACCCGGCAGAAAGTTCCTAAGCCTTAATTAAGAACGCGGACAAGAATCACATGGATGGTCTGGTCATATGAAGGGGGTTCGCATGTCAATCAACTCGTCGAAGTCTGCCATGGCTTGCCCGGGTCACACGCCTGACCGCTGTCTAGCCACGGCCGTGTAATAAACTTCCTTCCTTCCTTCCACCTCTGCAAACGATCCATTTTTCGCCCTGATTACTATGCTGCTCTATCTTTTCCTCTTGAGTTTTGGGGCTTTGGTTTGCGGTGGATTGAATCAAGGTGGTGATGAGAGTCTACTACTAGTCAACGCCATAGTCGGAAAGAACAACATTTCCATGGTGGAATGCTGGAAAGTTGAACCTGGATATCAGGTCTCGAACGTGGTGCGTATGTTTGAGCTTTAACCGGTCCTCAGTTGATTCAACATTATTATCAGTCGGGAACAGTTGGAGACAAGATCCTCCAACTGGGAAACATCGATAATGCCGTGTATATTATCATTCCAGACGATGACGGCAAGCCAAACAACGGCGGGTACGTACTATCTCTTGCTATTGTTTTCGAAGAATGCTTAACATAAACCAGTCTACACAATGGTGCTCATGCACAGTGGGTTTTTGCACTTACCGGGGGCGTAAACGTCACCTTCCCGGAGGCACCTGGCGGTTTCACAGTATCTGCTGGGGGCCTGTTCTTTTCCACTGTGAGTACAATCAAGCTCATGTTGATTCCCCTGTTGCCTGTACACGCGCGGGATTGTGAAAGTTGATCAGTTTGCTTATGTACATCTTGCTAGGACGTGCTGGGCACTTCTACCCTTGGCCATCAAAGTATATGGGCAGCTGGTTCGATCTTCATTCAAGCACCTTTCCCAGGCGGAGTTGCCATCAACCATACCGTTATTGCCAACCACTCATGCGAAGAAAACTACTTGGCGAAGTGACCCCAAAGAAATTGTCGAGTGTAAAAACTAAGGATTTTATGGCCTACTCACTTGTACTACGTTGAATCTATCCCAGTGTCAGAACTTGTTCGATCCCTAAATATCGGAGTTTCCGCCCCAAGTTTAGGTCTTTTGGCGCCTTCCGCGCTAAATTGATAAAGATAATCAATTAGATTGATTTGTGGGGAAATCGGTGATTCCCGCCCCAGATAGACAGCGGTTCCGCCCTAAATAGAAACATGACGTCCGCCCTACTTTTCGATGCCCGCCCTATTTCGAAGACGCGCGCAACTTTTTGACTCCCGCCCACTGTTGTTGAGAGATTTAACTCGCAGTTCCCGCGACACAAATTTGGCGGTTCAAAGTAACCATTACTGCTATGTGCGGAATATAAAGCGCGGGCAGATTTTTTCCGTTTTTGGACGCATTTTGATGTGTTCTCCTTTTCCCCAGTTTCTTGTTCAACTCTTATCTAATTGCCTTATAACTATGCACAATTGATTCCTACTATCTGTCCTCAGTGCTTAGGCATATTTTCTTATTTTTACTGCATGCAATCTGGCTGAAATGACAGATATGGTGATTTCCAACTGTACACCCTCCTGCAAGAGGACCTGCATGGCATACACCAAGTATATAGGTATTGCAGATGCACGACATGGGCTACCGGGTGGTCCTACCCTAATTTTCAGCCCTGTTATGAGATGGATATCATCACCTTATTCACATTTGCAGTGGTTTAAACCAACGGAAAGACACACTCCAACCACAATATTAATGTTACATGGAACAGGTAGAGGTTTCAATAAAGATTAACCGCGAGGACTAGGCTGCGAGATTGAGGATATTATTTTATCGGAGGAAAAAACCGCTCTTGCCTGCAGCCCATCACCCGGCCCCGAGTCGAACGGAGGGGCCTGCAAAAGTTTCGGAACAGTGAGAGCAGATGCACGCCTTATGCTACCGGGTGTACCTACCCTCCAATCAATTCTAAGCCATTTTGTCAGATGGGTGAGCGATTTAAGTCTCAACCACTACAAGACTCAACACTGACAGGTCCGACTACTATTGCTGGGATTAGGGACGCCTGGATTCTGGAAGCAGCTGAGCTTGATAAATCACTGGAAGCAGCTGAAGTAAATCATCAATGATTTGAAGACTCGGGATATGTTTAGCTCGAGCTTGTGGAGGGAGCCGGTAAAAAAGCCACAAAAGCACTGTTCCATCACCCGGCCCCGGATCGAACGGGGGCCTTCTGCACCGAGAGCTGAAATATCTAGGTACTACAGATGCACACCGTGTGCTATCGGGTGGTCCTACCCTCATTTCGAACTTCATTATCTTCCAAGGGATGGTTCAATTAACTTTCAACCAACCAACGGAAATCGAACCACATCAATAGCAACAGCCCTCACCTGTGATATTAATATTGATTCGCTTGGAATAGATATTTTTCTAATGAACTGGGTTGGGCAGGCTGCGACTTCGCGGATATTATTTTAACGAAGGAAAAAGGAAGAGCGCCAACTCATCACCCGGCCCCGGATCGAACGTGGGCCTTCTGCATACTAAATGTCATAGATTTACAAGAACAACGCATGGCAGATGCACGCCATGCGCTACCGGGTGTTAATACCCTAATTTCGAACTTCGTTATGAGATGGACATCATTACTGTAGGGATCTTAGTGGCCCCAAGCTTCAACCAACAAAAAATCAAGTCGAAAAACAGACCTCAACCACGATATCACTAGTCATTCCCTTGGGATAGCCATATGTGCAGGTTCCCTTGAGGCATAGCGGGACTAGGCTGCAATTTCGAGGATATTATTTTAACGGAGGAAAAAGGACCGCCAACGTATCACCCGGCCCCGAGTCGAACGGGGGCCTTCTGCATAGTGTGTACACTCGGTGAAATAAGGGTAGATGCACGCTCTGTGCTACCGGGTGTTCCTACCCTCTAAATCCCGACCCTTGCTATTCAGGATTATATTTTCGGCGGGGACTCGGGCTCGGAGACTCTAAGCCACGTCGAAATTTTGACCCGAGGCGGACTCGTGAATTCTCGAGCTCTCGAGGATAGCAAAATTGTGGACTGGCAGGGACACGGGTGCGACCCGAAGGCGGAGAAGATTCAGGAACATGTGCCAGAACAAAAGAACAGACTTAATGTACATGACCCGGCCCCGGATCGAACGGAGGCCTTCTGCACCTAAGAACTGGAATATTTAGGTAAAGTAGATGCACACCATGTGCTACCGGGTGTTCCTACCCTCATTTCGAATCTCGTTTATGAGGTGGGATGGACATCGGATGGTTTCAACTTTCAACCAATAGAAACACTCCAACATCAACAGACCTCACCTGTGGTATTAATATTCATTCCCTTAGAATAGCCATATGTACAGGTTCCTCTGAGGCATGGCAGGACTAGGCTGCGAGTTCGAGGATACTTTGTTAACGGAGGAAAAAAGGAACCATTGAAGAAATCCATGACCCAGTCCCGAGTCGAACGGGGGTCGTCTGCCCACGAAATGAGAGCACATGCAATGAGCGCAGATGCACGCCGTGTGATACCGGGTGTTTCTACCCTCTGATCTGGGCCTTCTTAGGCAGTGTAATTGCTAATGGGAATCACATGTTGAATTTCAACCAAAGAATACTTCGTCGTTGCAGTGAACGTGGAGCCCCGGAGGCACTCACAAAGTTCCAGCTCGGGGCAGAATCGTGTCAATGGATGCTCGGGGATTCGGGTGGGAACACGCAGTTCAGAAAAAGATGCAAGAAGGGAAAACCCCAAGTCTAATGGCCCGGCCCCGAGTCGAACGGGGGGTATTCTGCATTCTAAATTCCATCACTCTCAACTCAGGTAAAGCAGATGCACACCATGTGCTAACGGGTGGTCCTACCTCTCATTCTGAACTTCCTTAGACAGACATCATTACTGTAGGGATCGTAATGCAACTTTAACCGAGAAACAGACCTCGACCACGGCATTAATATTGATTCGCATGGAATAGGTATTCCTTCAAGTTGTTGCATTGAACTGGGTTAGGCAGGCTGCGAGGTGAATTTTATTTTAACGGAACGGAGGAAAAAGAGAAATCCTTCCATTATATCACCCGACCCTGAGTCGAACGGGGGCCTTCTGCCTACTGACAGCACTACGATCCAGGAAATGAAACAACTACGAGTCTTGGCTGGTCCGACTACCAGGGTCAGGGACGTCCGGAAGCAGGTGAAGGAAAGAAAATGTTTGAGGCCTCGGGGATATGTTTCGCTCGAGCTTGTGCAGGGATCCGGGAGTCGGTAAAAAAGCCAAAAAACACACTTGATCAATGATCACCCGGCCCCGGATCGAACGGGGGCCTTCTGCACGGAGAGTTGGAGTACTTAGGTGCTGCAGATGTACACCGTGTGCTACCGGGTGTTCTTATCCCTAATTGCAAACCTCATTTATGAGGTGGAATGGACATCGGATGGTTTCAACTTGCGACCTTGAACCAACAGAAATCGAACCACATCAACAGCAACAGACCTCACCCGTGGTATTAATGTTGATTCACTTGGGATGTATGCTGGTTCCATTGAACTGGGTTGGGCAGGCTGCGAGTTCGAAGATGCTAATTTAATGGAGGAAAAGAGCAGGTGTTACAACATATCACCCGGCCCCGAGTCGAACAGGGGGTCTTCTGCGTAGTGCATTACATTTACCCACGAAATGAGAACAGATGCACGCCGTGTGCTACCGGGTGTCCTTACCCTCCTTCTGTCCCTCCTTATGCAGTGTAATCGCTAGTGGGAATCACAAGTTGAATTTCAACCAAGTCGTGGATTTGAACACGGAGACGTCAATATTCACCAGAGGCTAGATCATATACTCGGAGATCGTAAAGATCATGGATGCTCAAGGATCATAGAGTTAAAGTGGATTTTTGCGCCTGCTGAAGCAAGAGCGAGAAAAATATTGCGACTCATTTGCACATCACCCGGCCCCGAGTCGAACGGGGGTCGTCTGCCTACTGGGAGAGCAACAATCCAAGAAATGGAGGTAGATGCACACGGTGTGCTACCGGGTGTTCTTACCCTCATTCTGGCCCTTCTTATGATGCGGACACCAACACCTAATATATACATAAACCAAGGCAACATCCGAGTCAAACTAAGTTCAACCACACAGCTCAACCACAATATTAAATAATGTCGAGAGCTTGGAATGGCCTTAAGTAGGCGCTCCATTGAGGATTCACTGCGAGGACTGGTGCGCCGTGTCAAGCTGTAAATAATCTGAGGATGTTCTTTTGCTGGAGGAAAATGGGAAGCGAAAACGTATCACCCGGCCCCGGATCGAACGGGGACCTTCTGCACCACGGAACTCACTTGGCTAGGTACTGCAGATGCACACCGTGTGCTACCGGGTGTCCTTACCCTCATTCTGGCCCTTCTTATGAGGCGGACACCAACACCTAATATGTACATAAACCAAGGCAACATCCGAGTCAAATTAAGTTCAACCACACAGCTCAACCACCAATGTCGAGAGCTTGGGATGGCCTTGGGTAGTCGTTCCATTGAGGATTCACCGTGAAGATTGGTGCTACTCGTCGAGCTGTAAAGAGTTGGAGGATGTTCTTTTGCTGGAGGGAAAAGGGCACATGTTACAACGCATCACCCGACCCCGAGTCGAACGGGGGGCTTCTGCACCATCGAGCTGAAATATTTAGGTACTGCAGATGCACGCCGTGTGCTACCGGGTGTTCCTACCCTTATTTCAAACCTCATTTATGAGGTGGAATGGACGTCGGATGGTTTCAACTTGCGACTTTGAACCAACGGAAAATCAAACCAGAAACAGCCCTCACCCACGATATTACATAAGTAAGATTCATTCCCTTAGAATAGCCATATGTACGGAGGCATGGCAGGACTAGGCTGCGATTTCGAGGATATTATTTTATCGGATGAAAAGGGGAAGCGAACACGTATCACCCGGCCCCGAATCGAACGGGGGCCTTCTGCACTACATACACCAGATCATAGGCACTGCAGATGTACACCATGTGCTACCGGGTGTACTCGTCTTCCAATGCCAAGCTGTCTTGTCAGATGGTGAGCAACCAACCGACTGTTCTTGAACTAGGTAAAGAATACGTTTGGTTCAAGGCTCAACTCGGCCGGTCCCACTACCAGGGTAAGGGACGGCCGGAAGCAGCTGGAGGAAATAAAACGTTTACGAGATGAAACGTTTACGGGCTCGGGATGCATCGAACTCGAGTTTGGGCAGGGATCCGGGATGCGGTAAAAAGCCAAAAAAGGCATAGCGATGATCACCCGACCCCGAGTCGAACGGGGACCTTCTACACCGAGAACTGAAATTTCTAGGTGCTGCAGATGCATGCCGTGTGCTACCGGGTGTTCTTATCGTAAGTTCAAACTTCATTATCTTCCAAGAGATGGTTCAACCAACTTTCAGCCAACCAACGGAAATCAAACCACATCAACAGCAACAGACCTCAACCACGATTGATATTGATTCGCTGGGGATATACTGTATGCTGGTTCCATTGAACTGGGTTGGGCAGGCTGCGAGTTCGAAGATGCTAATTTAATAGAGGAAAAAGAGCAGCTGTTACAACATATCACCCGGCCCCGAGTCGAACGGGGGTCTTCTGCGTAGTGCATTACATTTGCCCACGAAATGAGAGCAGATGCACGCCGTGTGCTACCGGGTGTCCTTACCCTCCTTCTGTCCCTCCTTATGCAGTGTAATTCCTCAGGGGAATCACACGTTGAATTCCAACCATGGCCAAAGAACATTTCGTTCGTCCGTGCACTTTCACTTTCACTCGGAGCCACGTCGACGACGAAGATTCCAACGCGGGCGGTCGCGCGCTCGCGGATCCTCTCATAGAATTGAAGGCGCGCTCGCGGATCGTCTCAGTGGACGCTCGAGGACGGGTGAGATCGAACTTGAAGGTGGAGATTGGCCAGAACAAAAAACCGCTCGCGTTTATGTATATGACCCGCCCCCGAGTCGAACGGGGCTGTGTTACGAGTGTGCCGAAATGAGCGCAGATGCTACCGGGTGTTTCTACCCTCTGATCTGGGCCTTCTTATGCAGTGTAATTGCTAATGGGAATCACAAGTTAATTCCAACCAAAGAATACTTCGTCGTTGGAGTGAACATGGAGCCTCGGAGGCACTCACAAGGTTTCAGCTCGAGGCGGAATCGTGTCAATGGATGCTCGGGGATTCGGGTGGGAACACGCAGTTGGAGAAGATTCAGAAAAAGATGCAAGAAGGGAAAACCCCAAGTCTAATGACCCGGCCCCGAGTCGAACGGGGGGTATTCTGCGTTCTAAATCCCATCACTCTCAACTCAGGTAAAGCAGATGCACACCATGTGCTACCGGGTGGTCCTACCTCTCATTCTGAACTTCCTTAGACAGACATCATTACTGTAGGGATTGTAATGCAACTTTAACCAAGAAACAGACCTCGACCACGATATTAATATTGATTCGCAGGGAATAGGTATTCCTTCAAGTTGTTCCATTGAATTGGGTTGGGCAGGCTGCGAGTTCGAGGATATTATTTTAAGGAGGAAAAAGGGGCAGATAACGTATCACCCGGCCCCGAGTCGAACGGGGGCCTTCTGCACCATGAAACACATTTGGTTAGGTATAGCAGATGCACGCCATGTGCTACCGGGTGTACTTACCTTCCAATGCCAAGCTGTCTCGTCAGATGGTGAACAACCAACCAACTGTTCTTGAAGTGTGCAGAGAATAAAGTTTGGTTCAAGGTCCGATTACTATGTAGGGTTAGGGCGGCCGCAAGCAGCTGCCGGTGAAGGAAAGAAAATGTTTGAAGACTCGGGATGCATCGAGCTCGACCTTGTGCAGGGAGCCGGGAGCCGGTGAAAAAAGCCAAAAACAAGACCTAGATGTTCATGATCACCCGGCCCCGGATCGAACGGGGGTCTTCTGCACCATAGAGCTCAAGTATATAGGTATGGCAGATGCACACCGTGTGCTACCGGGTGTTCTTATCATAATTTCGAACTTCGTTATGAGGTGGAACGGACATTGGATGGTTTCAACCTTCGACTTTGAACCTATTAATATACATTCCCTTTGACTAGTCATATGTACAGGTTCCCTCGATGCATGGCAGGACTGGGCTGCGAGTCCGAGGATATTATTTTATCGGAGGAAAACGAAACTGCCAATGTATCACCCAGCCCCGGATCGAACGGGCCTTCTGCCTACTAACAGCACCACAATCCAGGAAATCAAGGCAGATGCACACCGTGTGCTACCAGGCGTCCTACCCTCCTTCCGTCCCTTCTTATGCAGTGGAATCGCTAATGAGAATCACAAGTTGATTCAACCAAAGAACATTTCGTTCTTGCACTTTCACTTTCACTCGGAACCACGTCGAAGACGAAGATCCCAATGCGCTCGAGGACGGACGAGATCGAACGTGAAGGTGGGGATCCGCCAGAAGAAAAAAAACCGCTCGCGTTTATGTATATATGTATATGACCCGACCCCGAGTCGAACGGGGCTGTGGTATGTTATGTGGTGCAGGAATGAGCGCAGATGCTACCGCTCTGATCTGGGGTATCTGGATCTTACTAGGAAAGCCTTCACCGGATCCGGGGCGCCGAAAGGAACGCTGTTCCGTGATCACCCGCGAGCTCGGACCTGCGCCAGAGCGTAGTAATGGTAGATGCACGGGTTGTGAACTCACTCGGACATAGGGATGGGTGCACTCAGCTTTCGACTACATAACCGAAACCGAAATCAACCGAGCACCACACCTCAAGTAAGTATTGATTCGCCCTGAGATACTCGGTCGGTACAGCCGTCACGGTATCAAGATTTTTTTTGACGAGGCAAAAGGCTAGAGGGCACCTACTGAAAAACTAGCGCGCAAGGGAGGATGGTTTTCATGGGCATGGGTCCTTCCTAGCCTCGTTATGCGTAATGCAATGAACGGACGCGAGGGGGACGGTGGGATGGGGCGTGCATTGCACACGTAGAACTGCTAGTTCGGTCGGGATTTGAACTGCAGATCGGTCAGGATTTGAACCGCAGATCATTCAATTTTGAACCGCAGATCGTTCAGGATTTGCACTGATTTGCACTGGAGATCGTTCGGGATATGGAAATTGGACCCGACTCGGGATCGTACAGTAGAATCGGAGCACTGCCTTTGCGGAGATATAAACATAAACACAAACGTAAATAGGACTCGTGGTCTATTCATATCGGATATCGATCAAACACGGTTGAAAAGCTGCAATCGGATTAGTTGCGGTAATTAGCGCGGGAGTGCAATGGGTTGGGTTTATTTGATGTGAGAAGGGATAGGGGTAGATTGGGAACGTCGGAATTGCGCGCTGGTGAATGATGGTCTATGAGGCGAGGGTTTTGGGTTTTGGGTTTGGGTCCAGAAGAGATTGGGATGGCTGGCATGCAGGGTGGGTGGGTGCATCGATGTGATGCGAGGAGGTGCCACAGGCGGAATGGGAACGGGGACACGGCGGGTGATTTACGGGGTGGGCACATACGGGATTGAGGGATCGTCGGCGATGCCGGGCAGATGCCGGGGATGAATGCTGGGGATGTTGAGATGATGAAGATTGTTGGACGGATGCGATGCAGGGAGGTTACGTGTTTGCGCGGTCAGGGGGTACGGCAGGTCTCCGGGTCTGAGATGGAAACAAAAGGAATGGGCGGGAGGGTCGCGGGTGGGTGGAACCCGGCTCCACAGCGGGGTAAAATGAACACTTGGTGAGCCTGAGGCGTATATCGCGCACATGCAGGTTCAGGCGAGTAAGAGAAAGAGGAAGCGCGGATAAGCTCCGATTTGGATGTGCTGGCGGTGTAGTCTCTGGAACGAGGGGGGCACGTGTGACGATAAGCTATAACTCTTGTTCAGTGATGACGTCATCACTCCACACTCCAAGTCCCACTACACTGACTAGGATATGGGCACGGTCGCCCCGCCCATGCCGGCGCCGCCCGACTTGTTCAAGGAGCACCTTGCTCGCCGTCCTCAGCCTCCACGATGCCCCGCGCACGGCCCCGCTTCCGCGCTACCAGGGCCCCGCCGACTGGCAGACGGACGCCATCCTCCGCGCCGTCGACGCCCTCATGGCCCGCCGCCCGGCCCAGCCAACGAAAGGCGCAGATACCCCGCACCCCGCGCCGATAACCCCCGCCCAGACGCCCCCGCAGGCCTCATGCGCAACGGTAGCCTCGCGCGCCCGACGCGCCTCCCCGACGCCGACCCCGACTTTGACTTCCGCCGCCCCCCGACCCCGGGCACGCCCGACTCGTACCGCACCGCGCCGTGCGTCACGCCCGCCGCCTTCAACGGGACCGGGAGCTGCTGCGACGTGCGGCCACCGCGCCGCGTATATCGACTATGCGGAGAGCCCTGGGGTGGTCCCCGCGGGCGGCTGCGCTGGCGAGCGCGGCGAGCCAGGGCGGGATGGATGCGCTGGAGGAGCTGAGGACTTTTGAAGGATCAGGTGGGTGGTTTTTTGCGTTTTTTTGGGGCAAGGGGTGGGCAGAGCGGGGTGCCGGTGGGCGGGTATTCACCCTCTATCTTCCTGCGCTACCTCTCCCTCGTCCCCATGCGATCCTCTCCTCATCCCCCCCCATCCTGCTTGTCTCCATTCTCCCCGATATCTCATCCTCATTCCGCCCATCGTTTCATCTCATTCTCTCCTACGCACCCTCCCTCCCTCGCCTCGTCATCCCGCCCCATGTCATCTCATCCTCTCCCTGACGTCTTACCCACTCCGCCCCTTCCCCCGCCCTAACTCTCTCTTCATAATACCCTCCTCCCTCTTTTTCTTCCCGTCTACCTTTACGGCTCGCTAACGCTCCCCCAGGTCCGCGACGTCGCGCGCGTCTGCAACGCGGTCGCGACGGGCGACCTCACGCAGAAGATCATCGTGCCCGTGCAGGGCGACCTCATGGTGCAGCTCAAGAAGGTGCGTTCCTTTCTTTGGTGTTCGTCGGAGTCGGAGTGGGAGGCTTTGGTATTCGGAGGAGGAGGAGCAGGGTTTCTTGGGGGAGGACACCCCGAGTTTCCTGTGGGAGGGACCACCCGAGTTTCTTGTGGGAGGGACACCCCGAGTTTCTTGTGGGAGGGACACCCCGGGTGGGGTGGTCCGGGGATGTTGGGCTCGGGCGGCGGCGGGCCGTGCGCGTGCCCTGTGTCCTTGTGCGGGGCCGTCAGCGGGGACGTGCGCGTACATCGTGGCACGGAGACTGCGGGGCGGGGGCGTGACGGGCGCGCTTCCATTTCTCCGTGCGTCCTCGCAGGGTCGCGTTGGCGCTTTCGTCAATCGCTTCCCCTCGCTCATACACTCTCACCACGTTCCGCGTACCTTCGCTAACCCTCCTTGCAACTCGCTGACGCGCACACAGGTGATAAACACGATGGTGGACAACCTGGGCCACTTTGCGACCGAGGTGACGCGCGTGAGCCGCGATGTCGGGACCGAGGTGGGTTTTCTTTTCTTTTCGCTTTCTGTTTTTGGGGCGTTTTTGCGTCGGATGCGTTTTTTGCGTATGCGTTTCCGCTCGGCGGACATTCCGCTTCGCCTTTTTCCGCGCGTCGTCTCCACGCCGTATGCCGGCGCTGCGGCGGACATAAATGCATGCATATTCCGCCATTGGAGTGGGGCGGGCTTTGGGAAGGATGGGTGCTTGGGCCTTCCCTCTTTCCCTCTTTAACCCTCCCTTCGCTCTCAATGACTCTGCTTAATGCACTCGCTCGCCTCCTCTCTCCTCTTAATACAGTCGCTGACACACCCGCAGGGCAAGCTCGGCGCGCAGGCGCACGTCGAGAACGTGGAGGGCACATGGCGCGAGCTGACGGACGAGGTGAACACGCTCGCGGCGAATTTGACGACGCAGGTGGGTTTCCTTTGTTTCGTGCCTTCCCTCCCGCCTCCTCGCCAAAAATGAGGGACGAGAGACAAGAGGGAAGAGAGAAGAGACACGGTGCTGATGATCTTGATAGGTCCGGAGCATCGCGGCGGTGACGACGGCGGTGGCCAATGGGGATTTGAGTAAGCAGATTGAGGTGTGTTTTCGAGCTTTTTTCCCATCCTGCCCTTTTGTTCTGGGGTTTCTTTTCGGAGCGAGTGGGAGGGGGAGGGGGAGTGGGAGGGGTGGGCGGCGGACGCGCGCTGAGGCTTAGCTCGCTCGCTTCCCGCCCTTCGCTTCTCCCTCCTCCGTCATATCCCTTGTCTCCTCCCTCCCTTCGCTCGCCTCCCTTCCTCCCTTCCCCTCGTCTCTCCCTCTTGTTCGCTCGCTCGCCGCTGCCTTCTCCTTCGCTCGCTCCCCCTTTCTCCTCTCCCCCTCCCCCCTCCCCCCTCCATTATATCCCTCACTCCCCTTCAACCCCCCTCCGTTACTGCTCGCTGACGCTCGCGCTAGGTCTCCGCGAACGGCGAGATCCTCGACCTCAAGAACACGGTCAACGGCATGGTGCTGCGGCTGCGGACACTCGCGGTGGAGGTGACGCGCGTTACGCTCGAGGTGCGTTGTGCTTCCTTTCTTGGCCTTGGCTTCACTCTTCCCTCTTCGCTCTTCGCATGTTCTGTGCTTTCGCCCTTCGCTTTGGCGCTCCCCGCTTTTGCTTCCGAGTGCCGAGCCGTGCGCTCTTCGGTGTTCCGTTCTTTCCTTTCTTCCGTCGTTTATTACGCCGAGGAATCCAAATCCAATCGCTGATTACAGTGTGGTTTTGACAGGTGGGGAACCAGGGGAAGCTGGGCGGGGAGGCGAGCGTGCCGGATGTGGAGGGGGTGTGGTTTGAGCTTGTTACGAATGTGCGTGTGTTTCCCTTGGTGCGCTCGCGGGCTTGCGATGCGGGAGCGCGCGACTCCGAGCCTGCGCGACCACGACCGCGAGACACCGAGCCGCGCCCTGTGTGGTAAGGGAAGAACCGACGCTGACGCGATACCCGATTCACAGGTGAACCGGATGTGCCTCTCGCTGACGGACCAGGTGCGCA